GCCCCTGCCTGCCCCCTCGGGGGCGTGCCTCCCCCGTCACTGCCATCGATCGAGCCCTGCGCTGCTGACGTTCCCTCGACGCCCCATCCCTTCCCACCCCACGGCCCCATCTGGTCCCTGCTCGTACCTGCTTGGAGCTCGGCGAGGGCAGGGCTCGTGCAGCGCACGCCTGGCAGCCCCAGGCCCGGCCCGGCGACTAGTACAGTTGAAGACGCAGCTGAATATTTGGGGGACTGAACGACTAACTGATAAATGAGGTGCTGTCTAAAACCAGTGACCACAGATGGGAGTAAATAAAAACTACCTTTCTCGGTATTAATCACTTTCACTGCTGCTGGGGGAGAAGGAGTTTGTCACCACTTTCAGAAGACGCAATCAGAGTTGCAGGACCCTGGTCATCGGCACCGTGCTCACCCCCGCTGTCTTCTTCACGGTCTCCCACCCAACCTGTGACAAGCAAACCGGCCCAGAGCCGAGCCGCTGCTGGAGGCCCAGCTGGTGCCTGTCCTGCCTCAGGAAGTAGCAACAACGGTGGCTTCCTCCAGGAGCCTGGGACCCGCGAGTGTGGCCGCTCTAGGACACAGGCCACCGTCCACACCCCAGCCATGGCTCCGGGGCCGTGGGCGGACACACTGTTCTCACTGGGGCGCTCCGGCGCGTGACACCTGACCCCCGCTTTCATCGAGATATCTGTCCTGGCCACACCAGGCCTACAACCACTAGGACACAAGCCCACCTTCGCTCTGGCCATAAAATTCAGAGCGAGAACGCTGTCACTGGTGGGACAGGAATGAGTGGCCTACTCATTTCTTCTTGCAGGTTATGTTGGCCTGGAGACCACAGGAGGAGGAGCGTCATCCGAAACCCCCCTCTTCTGACTGCGGTGCAATTTCCAGGGGAAGGTATTTGCAGAGGCAACGGCACTTCTACTATCCTGCCATTAACTGGGTATTTACAACATCCGCCTTTAGCCACAGAGGCTGGAGGCTACAGGTTGTATTTGATAAATGTGACTCATCTGGGCTTAGATTGGAGTCTTCAGGGGGACGGACAAGTTAAAATTTCTTGAGACAGCTGAATCGTTCACAATGACCCTTTGGAGTGCACAGGGGGTTTTTTTTGTTTTGTTTTGTTTTTGTTTTTGTTTTTGTTTTTTTTTGGAAAGGTCATTTTTGTTATGATATTTAAAAGATAAGATTTGTGACGTACATTTGGACAATAGGGTTGAAAAGTAAGACGAAATCGAGTACGCCAAGCGGCTTCCATGAATAAATATTTGCCTTCTGCGGTATTTCTATAGCAGTCTGAATTATTCACCAAATACATAAATACGAGAACCATACACAAAGACAGACATTCGTTTTTTTAACCTTTTATTTTGTATCCATCCTTCTATCTCTCTATAGCTCTCAACCTATGGACATATATTATTCATAAAGACTGCTAACATTCTGAAAATCAGGATTATTCACCTGCCATCGGTAGAAAGTTCCTTTAATAAAGGTGCTGATGAGAATTCCAATTACTCATTAAAGTGCTCCTTCAGGGGCGCCTGGGTGGCTCAGTCTGTTAAGTATCCGACTCTTGATTTCGGCTCAGGTCGTGATCTCGGGGGCGTCAGACTGAGCCCCGAGTCGGGCTCTGCACTAAGTGTGGAGCCTGTTTGAGATTCTCTCTCTCTCCCCCCTGCTCCTCCCCCGCTGAAAAAAATGAGCTCCTTCATTTATTCACCGAAGAAAAACATTCATCAAGTGATGTCAGGGCGAGAAGGCACAGGTGTTACGGGCGGCAGCGTGCAGCCCTCTGGTCCGTGCTCTCCGGCAGAGGGAAAACAAAGAGCAAACCCCTGGATGAGCCAGGAAATACAGGGATTTCAAAGAGCGGCAAATGCTATCATCAGCCCCTTGGGGAGTAACACCCGAACCCCATGCTACGTGGAGGAGAGCGATGGCATTTTTTGGCAAACTGAATGCGTGACTTCACACCGAATGCCGTCCTTCTATGTTAACCAACAGCCATTGTTCTGCACTGCCAGTTCCAGAAGCAGGTCAGGTGTCAGAAAACAGTGCAAAAGGTCCAGTGTGTTTGGGGTCAGTTACGAAGCAGGGGATTGGGATATCGGCACTCGACCTTCTCCGACTTCTAGCAAAGACCCATCATGTTGAAGCGTAAAACATGAGGAACAGTACACTTTGCCAAATCTGTGACACAGAAACAGTGAGCGTGCCTCGTACCAAGCACTCTTCTGGTACACAGCAGCGGTTGGTTACACGCACCCTCAGGCCACACTCGCTCCACTATCTGTATTGCTCCAGAAGGTCAGCTACCCTTTTCAGCTTTGCTCACATTGCCCGCCCCCCCCCCGCCTTCCCTGCCACTCACTGGTCCTACCACTTTTACAGACTATTCCTCAAGTCAGTTTTTAGGTCACAAGCTCAAACTTGGAACAGGGCAAGCAAAACACTAACATCACCCCAGCTACAGGACGGGCAAGTGGTGCCGAGGCTGATTGCTCTAGTTATTGTATTATATGGCAGGCTGAAGACATCCTGGGTTGTCTGCATGGCTTTTCGTGCATTAAAAGCGACCTCTGGTCCTAACCCACACTGGCTGTACATTGAAGAAGGAGAGGTCAGGCTGCCAGACAGAAGAAAGAATGGGAAGGATCCAAAGGTGAGGAAGAAGAGGAGTGCATGGTGGCCGGGCCCCCCTGGCAACAGCAGGCCCTCCTGGGACCTGACTGGTCTTTAAGGCAAACCTCTTTTTCCAGCTCTAATGAGAACGACAGGGTCTGCTGGAGCTCCTTGGAAGCAGGGGAAGATGATCAATCCCCGTCAGGATCCAGTACTAGGTCCCCCGGGCCGAGGTGAACAGATCCAGAAGGCAGAGAAGATGGGGGGAGGGAGGTAAGGATAAAGCAAGACAACACTGTGACCGTCTGCACCATATTCTAATCTGAGGCTCTGAGATGCTGGGAAAAGTCAAGCTAGCTGGGCAGAGAGCCAGAGCGAAGAAAAATTAAGGAGAAGCAAGAGTAACAAATGCTCACAAGTGATTCTGTGCGAATCTCATTTTTGCGCGTATCCTGGTGTGCCATATTTCTACCACTGTCACGCTATGACTGCTAGTCAAGCCACATAATAGTTACATAATTTTAGCAAATTGAGATACGGTCATTGGCAGCCTATGATCCTGGGAATATGTGCCAGGAGTGCGGGAACAGCCAGGCTGCGGTTCAGAGGCGGGCACACTTCCTCAGAGCCAGCCTGGGATGATCGTGGGGGTCCCAGGGCCAGGCCGTGCTAGCTCGTCTCCCGGAGGGGCACCATCCGGGATCAGTCCTCCTGAGACTTCGCCCATGGGTAGGGGGTCTTCATCCTGCCACTGCACACCTACGCCAGCTTTAATAAAACACGCCATGCCCTCTACAGGGGTGCCCTGTCTGTAGCTTACAGATGTGAAGGCTGAACTCCAGAGAGCCGACGGGCAAGGAAAGTTTACCGAGCTGGCGGCAAAGCTGGAATCTGATCTGTGCCCAACTCCAAAGCATTTGTGAGGACAGTGGCTAATCCCGAAGACACCGCAGGACCTCCCTCTACGGACTGCTGTCACGTAAGCACGGTTATTGGCTTTGCTCTGTGTTTCCACACTTTAATGACCACATTAACCGAACAAAAGAAAAGCAGAAGAAAATGACATCCCGTCGTATCAACATAGGACTTATAATATTTAAACACTAACTTGTGTGCCATGGAGTATTGCTGATAACTGAACAAGCAAAGACTTAGGACGGTAATTGAGAACCTCATGGAAAAAATGGTGGTATCCATCATTTCTAGTAAATACGCTGTGTTACTCCCGCTAGCGTTTTCTTCCCCAGACTGTTGGGGTTTCTCTAATATGTATACCCGTCATGGAACACCCATCACCTAAGAACTGAAGCTACTGCCCATGTGTAGACACACACCGATAATAAAATCCTCACTTACTCAGAGCAAGGCTAGCGAAAACAGCCTTTGACACGTCCTTTTAAAGCGAAGAACTACCCATGGTTTGCAAAACTCTAGTTCAAAAAGACTGCCTGCTAGTGGGGCGCCTGGGTGGCTCAGCGGTTGAGCATCTATCTGCCTTTGGCTCAGGTCGTGATCCCGGGGTCCTGGGATCGAGTCCTGCATCGGGCTCCCTGCATGGAGCCTGCTTCTCCCTCTGCCTCTCTCTCTTTCTCTCTCTCTCCTTGTGTGTGTCTCTCATGAATAAATAAATAAAATCTTACAAAAAAAAAGCAGTGTAAACACACCTAAAACTCATCACTTGGCTTACTTTTATTCCCTACTTATTGACATCAGCCCACGTTTGATCATTAGCAGCGAGAAATATTTTACAGGAAGCACGTTTACAGCAGCCCGCGTTTGTGCCCTCGCATGCGAGTGCAGACACGAGGCCCCTCACCAAAGGGAGTGTCAAAATGTTCTCGCTGTAGGGTGACAAAACAGAGAGCTTTCAAATTAAGCTAAAAATACGTAATAGGAACACAAGGAAATCTTCATTTGCCCCATCGCCTCTGACAGATACGCCTTCTGATGTCATCCCATGTATTTTCCCTTAGATTAAAAATCCTGCTGACGCCTTTTCTTCCTTCCTGAAATGTGCACCTTTCCCCCCGCGGTGAACAGCCGAGAATCACACCACGCCTGGTCTTCCGATTTCTGCTCCTGTCATTGCCAGGTGCTCCGCAACCGGGGCTGGACCTGGGGCTTGGGTGAAAGATCTGCCCTGCTCACTGCCTCTACGGAGGAACTACGCCTGGGCATGCGGGCTACTGACTATACGGTCCGCCACAAGTTCTTCTGGGCCCTCTAACTGGCTCTGGAATTCCCTGCAGCGGTATCTGCTCGGCACCCGGGGCAGGCCCGGTGTCGCGCTGTCGCGCTCATCCTCACGGGCTGTCAGCACTGACCCTCTGCTCAAGAAACACATAATGGATTCTGGAAAATACGTACCTGATTGCACTCGCAGACAAGTGGCCGTAGGAGCCGCTCGCTGAAGAGCTGCTGCGGGAATTATTGAGAATCGTGACCAAGGAGTTGGGAGATGTCCTTATCATGGTCTGAAGGTCAAAGCTGTGATCGGACAGCGGTGATATGGACAGTGTACGTTTTCGGCTCGGCCGGGCAGACAGCCTGGGGCTGGGGAATCTGGTGCCTGTTACATAAACAAAACAGAACCCGATTACCTGCGGTTGTGCTCGGCACCTGCTCTGTATCGCGACTTGCCCCGGTGGAAGAAGTGGAGGAGAGGAAGCCGGCAACTTGCGGTGACAAGTACCTCTCCACCCACTGGTGATCTACTGGCTACAATTGAGGAAATTAGGGAGAAATATTTATCTTCCAGGGCTTACCTCGGGGGAGCTCTGTTTATTAATGTGCAGGCAAAATGATAAATTGCTAAACAAAAGGGAAAGACTTTTATGTGTTATCCCGCTCATTTCTAGTGATTTATGAATCTGACGGCTGCTTAGATATTCCCATCATTAATTCACCACAAGCGACAAAGACAGTGGTCCCCACAGTTCTACACAACACACCCCGCCCCATCCCAACATGCACCATATTAAGGCAATGAGCCAAAGGAGAGAAGGAATTAAAGTATCCAAAGACTAAAAATTCAGTTTACTTATGCCCTCATTTCCCTAAGATTTCTGAAGTTGTCTGATCCATGTATACTTACAGCTTTACTAACACAACAGATAAATGCATTACCCGAAATTAATGGTTCTCAATTGGGGGCAATTATGCCTCCGGGGACATGTGACAACATCTGGAAACACTCTGGTTATCACAATTCTCGGGGTGCTGCTCGCATCTAGTGTGCAGGGGCCAGGCGTGCTGCTGAACCCCCAGCGACGCCCAGGACAGCCCTCCACGATGGAGAATTCTCTCCCTCCAGTAGCGCCGAGAGTGGGGACCCCCCTCCGTTCCCCATACTCTAAAGGCATAAGCCCCAATAAACATCTCAAATCTCAGCATGGTTTGGAGATGTTCCAGTTGGAATATTAATGCACAAGCATTAAAATATGGGCTTTGATGAATCTATTTTAATCCTCTGGACCTTGCTTCTCCAGTCAGAACCAACAGGGAATAAAGCATTTATTATTAGAAATCCAGTCTTTATTAAGACTCTTCCAATGAAGTTCTCATCTGGAGGTTAGTAACTCACGCGTAAATGTTTGCCAACTTAATACAATGCTTTTTTACCTAAAGAGTTAACAATTAAATATGCCTACTTGCCTTCAATATGGTAGACACTAGAGATCTGAATTTTAGGGATTGGCTATGAATGTGGCCCAGAGGCCCACACTCCACTAAGGTCAAATTTACGTTACAGAGTCATCAAACTCAAGTTGAACGAAAGAACGAGAGCACAATCCCACTCCGTAAGAAGCAAATCAAACACGATTAATTTTGAATAATAATGGAGGGTTTCTATTTTAGAGTATGGGTACACTTTCACACGGGGGCACTACACTTTTGCAGTACCCAGAGCACAGAAGCAGAAGGTAAGCCTTCTTTAGAGAAAGAAGCCTAGGCGCTTGGTCTCTGGAAACTTCCATGGACTTTCATCATGGACCTTGACACAAGATAACAATCCAACGTGCTTCGAGACCATGTAATGAAACGATATAGATGGATAGGAGCCTACAGACGATCTCAGAGAATACACAGATATACTTTATGGTTAAAAAATAAATCACAAACTGGAGCTTAGGAAGTCAAGTTAGTACCATCCATGTGTAAAGCTGGAAAACCAATTTGAAAGATGAATATGGCTCCTCAATTTTTTCTTTCAGACACATTCAAAACTGAGTTTCTTCGTTTAGAATCATTTCGTTATCAGCCTGATTTAGGTCGTGCTCCTACCAGCATGGCTTTCCCAGCTATGAACACATCTTTTACTGTTTAAATCAGCATCTTATTATGGCATCTGCCTTAACACATAAATGTTTCACATTTACTCCCTTATGAGAAGCTAATTTCATCATAGTTTTTCAGTGAAGAAATATATTCCACTTCCAAACAACACCAGGGACTCCAGATTTAGTGTCTACTTTCATGTAATCCTCAGCAATAACCCTTCTCGATGGGTCTCAGTGATCACGGGCAGAGTTAAGAGTAATAGGACATTCTAGACAGAGAGGATTCCTGGAACACTTCTAATTCTTTAAATCGCTAACTAGATAAGGTGGCCATTGATGCTGTGAAGCAAGAAAGGTCTTAGGGGCCCCTTCCATCTCCCACAGACAGATCCCAGAGGCCTTCCTTCATCCTTCCAAGGAAGCCTTCCTGTTGTTGCCCATGGCCTGGTCGGTTCAGTCCCTTTCTGTTTTTCTCTCCAGGGTGGGCTCTTAATAATTAAGTCTCCACCAATACGAATAATGTAGTTTTGGGGGAGCCCTCGGTTCTAGAATGTTCCTCTTAGGATTACTTGCTCTCTTGTCTTTTAAGGTCATCAATCCCAAAAGACAGAATTAGAGCCATAAAACAGACTTGCTTATTCTAACACGTGACATATAAATACTCTGTCCTGTAAGTGGTGGAAACCAAGATATGCCCCTTGTCGGCATACTTAAATGTCAAATGCTCATCAAAAACCAGTTTATTGTGGTTCTCACCACCTGAAGAGTCCTGAAGATCCATTAACAATGGATCCGAGTGACCAGCTAGATACCAGCTGGGCTCTGACACTGCAGGTGCACCTCCAGTGTAGTAATTTGGAATTGTTTTGCTTCTCTGTTGGAAAGGTCTCCTATGATTGAAATGCTGGGTGCTCTTATGTTATGCTTAACTAAATGCTATTTCAATTTTTTTTTTTGAAGGAAGGTAGTATTTTAAGCACTTTCCAACCCTTTAATATATGCTTCCTAACCCCCTTATAAGCAAGCAAACAGAGAAAAGTCAGCATTTTGGAACGGTGATTTCAGGATCCTCCGGGGAGGGGAACAGCTAAAACCCAAGGTACACATTTTAGAAACAGCCAAGAGAGAAGCGGCCCAGGTCTACACTGATCTTACGGGTTCCTTCGGAAACGGAAGCCCGAGCATTCTTATTGTTCCAACACAGATATCTCCGATCTGGCTTTCTGTTAATTGTTTTGTTTCTCTGCTCTAATAAAGAATTCTGACAAAGAATAAGGAGGTTTCTTTTTATGTGATGAATGATAGGACATCTAAATTCCTACTTAATGACAATCAATTTACCATATACTCAGGCAAATTAAAATTCCTTTAATTAGTTTTTACAAAGTAAAAGGGTAGCTTCATCCTTTATTTAGATAAAAACCGCCACTGCCTGACTGAACATATTCTCATCAAATGTAGAAGGCAATACGGCTGACCTTCCAAGGACTCTCCCCTATTTTAATTCTTTATTTGCAGATTTTCAAATAACTAATTTGCATAATAACACTGAACTTTTTCCCCACAATCCCTAATTGAAATGTGGTTATGATGAATCTGAAACGTAAGCTCTGGACTCTACAAAGCCAAACAACACAACCCCTGCAGAAGATGGAACACGTTTCTTGTACTTTTGGGTGTGGTAATGAACTCCATGGAAAGCAGCGCAAGCCGGGACCCCGCGTAACCCAGCTGGGTTTGTTCGTGGCCACAAGAGGATGGAGGCTGTAGATTTCGCCCTGTGTGAACCAACCGCCCTCTCTCCACTCCAGACCCGAAGGCTGCCTTACTCACCATCACTAGAGACCTGACCAGGGTACACCTGTGTCACAGAAGAACCCAAACAGACTGTAGATGAGAAAGCACAGCCACCAGAGAAACGAACCAACCAACCAAGCCCTGGCATATGCCCTACTCAAAGCCATGCGGTTGTCATAGTCAAAGGGCAGTGGCCTCCATTGATATACACCTCGTACGATGTTTCGCATTCACTTCTTGGCACCTGGCAAATGGAACTGGAAGAGTGTGAATAAATAAGAACTCTCAGATGTTCTGAACCGTGATACTCACAGGCTCATTTGTCTCTATGTCTAGATAAGTGACCCAAAGACATCACCATAAGCCTTGAGGGATCCAAAACTAAGTGATGTAAAAAGCATCAAAGGATGCCATTATCTTCTACAGTTATGTACTAAAAATAGCTCTTTCTGATTAGGAAATGCTTTTCAGTTTTCCTCGATTAAAGGTCGTAGTGAAATATAATTGTTATTGTAAGGAAAACATATGAGGCAAAATAAACCCATGGAAAAAATGTAAAAACTAAGTCTAGGGTTTTTAAAAAAAATTATATTTTTTTAATTTTTAATTTTTTAAAATTGATTTTTTTTTAGGGATGCCTGGGTGGCTCAGTCGGTCGAGCGTCCAACTCGTGATTTCAGCTCAGGTCATGATCTCGGGGTCCTGGGATCAGGCCCCATATTGGGCCCCCTGCTCAGCGGGGAGTCTGCTTGAGATTCCCTTTCTCCTTCCCCCTCTACCCCCCTCCCCACTCGCATGTGCTCTCTCTTTCTCTCTCTAAAATAAATAGATAAATCTCTGACAAAAAATAAGAATAAAATAAAGACTAAGTTTTAAAGCCTAAAATCTAGAAAACCTCAAGGAGTGACTGGGTGAGTACATCCACATCATCAAACACATCTCTTTTTTGTTATCAGGACAATCAGGGCAGGAGAGCTTTTTTACACCTGCCAAATGACAATCGTCTGCATCTTCCAGTTTGTTGGTCTCGTAGAGCTCTATAAGGAATCTCAGGATGGCCAAATATGTGGAAGCTTCTTAGAAAACCGGGCAGAGCAAAGCACCAATTATTCTTCCTCCCTCCCTGGTTTCAAAAGTTAGACAACCACCTAACCTGTGCATCCATCTCTACAACCCACGAGTCAGCATCCACCACCACCAGGCTACAGGAAAGAGCCCCCTCACTTACTGTCCATGGCATGAAGATACTCCATGTGGATGGCCCCAGCGCCGGCGGTGGCAGCGGAGGGAATGATGTCTGCGTAGGGGCTGCGCTGGCCAGCCAGCAGAGCCATCTGATGATAGTATTCCGCTGGGCTGACCCCAGCATGGGGGGCTAGGAGAGGAGACAAGGAGAGTACGGTGACTGCTTGAGAAAGGTCAATGCGAAACTTTTCTCGAGACTTCCCAAAGCCATCTGCCCCGTGGCCCACGTCAAGATGCCCTTTTTATGGCTCATTCTAGGTTAAAAGCTTCTTTAACTCAAACTGTGCTTTCACTGAAGTCTACAAGGTATCTTTCACTTGAAAATAAAACCAAAGAAAAAGAAGAGAAAAAGTAAGATACATCATACAGTTTTTGAGGTTTAAAGACGCAACGAAGAATTCCAAATGATTCAAGCATATTTACGTTCTCCTTCTCACGTGTGCCCCTTCCAAATTCAATCACTCTGACATGAAATCACTGTGTGTTCACATATCTTACAGGGGTAGACAACTGAGACCCCTGTGCTATCTTCCCGGACACACTTAAAATCCTTCCCTCAGCCTCCGGCAGGAGCATCTGAGTCGGCTCTCACAACCTGGAGGGCTCAGGGACTACGAATGGAAAAGCCAGCATGGTTTTAATAATGCAGGACCGGGTGATAAGCTGCAATTTGGGGTTCCATAATTTTAAAGCTCCTTTCTCCCTTTTTTTTTTCATTACAAAATCAGAAAGGAAATACACCTATCATTCTGGTGCAATTTACTGGCAAGAGTCAGCTCTGCGAGAGTGGGATAATAATCTGTTTCCACTGCCAATCTATGTGCAAAAGCAGCAAGATACTGTGGCAGTTCTAAGGGTGGTCTCCAGATCCTCCAAGATCTGGATGCAAATCCCAGCTCCTCCTCTTTCCGCTCCCAACAGTTTGCCGGTGGCAATGAATGTGACGGCGCTCGGCACACAGCATTCCATCAGTAAAAGTTAGTTTAACAATTATCATGTAGAAATATGGGTAATCTAACAATAGGTCTGTGTATGTTTTACACGTGTTCACATGCTTCTTATACATGATAAAAATATAGAGATAGAGATGCACACGAACCTCTTAGCCTACGTGTGAGAGCCATCGGGACTTGACTTTATTTGATTATTAGTTAAGATTCTTAAAAGTCAGGAAGAGGAAGGCACAGCAAACCAGTCAAAGAATGCTTTGTTCATACTCATCATCAAATGCCACAGAAAACAGAAGACAAGGTGCTTTAACTCGAGGTACCACTTTCCACCTGCCCAATGAAATTTCTGCAAGGCAGGCATAGCTCCAAGTCTGCTGTGAGCTGGCCTCCCTGACCTCTCTCTCCCTCTGTTCTCCGGTGTGGTCATTTCCTTCAACTCCCAAGTACTCCATGGAGACGACTCTCCAGTTTTGCCCAGTGTCTCACCAAAACAGGAGAACGGACTCGGGTCTGACTCTCTTACAGTTTCATTTTTTTTAAACGTGAATCTTGTCCAAATGGCACAACGTATTCCTTAGGTACCTCATAACTGTGTCCGCTGCACTGACTCAGAAAGAGGTGAGCTATTGGGGCAGTGCAGCTGCTCTTGGAAATACAACTGAGTAGATTTACTAAGAACTTTCATACAGCCTCCGACCTCTCCCCACCACGCATGGCCAGCCCCAGGAAGGGGCTCCAGGGAGGATGTGGGCAGCGCAGGTCCCACGGATAGGAGAGACTGGTGGTGCCCTGAGCTCTGACACAAGCCCCTGTGACTTGTGGGTGTCTCTTAAGAGAACTCATAACCTGCTATTTCTTTTTAAAAATATTTTATTTATTCATTCATGAGAGACACATTGAGAGAGAGAGAGGCAGAGACACAGGCAGAGGGAGAAGCAGGCTCCACGCAAGGAGCCCGACGCGGAACTCGATCCCGGGACCCTGGGATCACGCCCTGAGCTGAAGGCACATGTTCAACCTCTGAGCCCCCAGGCGTCCTGTAACCTGCTATTTCTAATTAATATGGCTTATGCAATACTGGACCTTCATTCAGACTCCAGCAGTCGTGGGCAAGTGTTTGCTGGATGTGTGCAGGAGGTGGCAAATGTTCTTCCTGAATCAAAGGAGTGTTCTATAATTTGACAGTTATGGGACACACAGCTCTCATTAGAGTCTTGTGAAAAGTAATTAATTGGGAAGCTAATAGAACCAACAGGAATTTGACCCCTGAGAGCTTAAAATGAGCATCAAATATAATAAAATTAAAGCCCAAGTTTGTCTCTCTTCCCACTCCATCCCTCTTTCAGTTCTCACTGGGCACAGTCAAGGTCGGAGGGCACGTGCAACAGATCTGGACTCTCATGTTCTCTAAGACTTGCTACTCAGAGCGGGGTCCACGGACCAACGCGCTGACCTCACCTGGGAGCTTTCCAGCCTGCAGAATCCCAGCGTCCCCCCAGACCCACCCCACCCCGAATCACATCTCGTCATCATTCCCAGGTGGTCCATGCACACCGTGGAACTTGACAAATGTGAGTCTAATGGACACATCAGTACAAACGTGCCTCTCAGACGTGCAGGACAGAACAGTGTTGGTTGGAAGGTGAGCAACCTGGCTGGTTACACACGCATGTGATGTGAACAGCACCCGGGCCCCCACAAGAGGATGAAGAGCCGCAGAACGACACTGTGGCTGGGAGCAAGGTGTCTGCAGCCAGTGAGTCCCACCCCTGCCACTTGAGAGCCAATGGGCCATGGTGCAAGTGACTTAGTCCCTCAGCTCATTGCTCTCCTCCCCTGATAATGGAGACAATGACCCCACCCTCAGGGACGTCCCCTCATGCCGAAGTGAAGCAGGCTCTGAAAGCCCTTAGCATGGGGGCACCCAGTGGCTCAGCTGGTTAAGCGTCTGCCTTCGGCTCAGGCATGATCCCGGGGTCCTGGGACTGAGCCCCACATCGGGCTTCCTGCTCGGCGGCAAGTCTGCTTCTCCCTCTGCCCCTCACATTCTCTCTCATTCCCTCATTCTCAAATAAATAAATAAAACCTTAAAAAAAAAAAAGGCAAGCACTTAGCACAGCATCTGGCACATGGGAAACACCCAGCAAACATCAGAGCTGCTGCACAGCACATTCCAGGTGGGGCCAAGGTGGAAGAAGAAGGAGCTAGAAGGAAATGGTGGGGAAGGACTTACCATCTGTGGGGCTGAGCCCCCGAGCTGCCGAGATCATGGAGAGGGACGGGCTGTGTAGGGACCGGATGTAGTCCATGTAGGGGTTGATGTAGGGGTGCGGAGGGCTGAAGGGGGGCTCAGAGGCTGCGGCGGGGTTCCGGTGTGGGGAGATCCTGATGAAGGGCAGGTCCGAATACGTTGGGCTACTGGATAAAGCAGAAGGCCTGGGTGAAAGAGAAAACCAGACACAAGAGGTGTGGGTGAGACAAATTCTCCACGGGCAGAGGCTGTTTTCTGCAAAGGAAAATAAGAATGAGGTTAAGTGAACTCGAAGGGTCCTGGGTAAAAGATACCAGGCGTCGATGTTTCTGATGACCTTAAAGTCATGGCGACAATGCAGGTAGGACGGTACTACACAGTGATCTGGGCAAAGGAAATGAACCTCTGAGATAGCTGACGGCACTCAGAATACAGGAAAATAAAGGTTGGCCTTGGGCTTTCCTTGGGACGAAAAATTCTAGCTGAAAAGGCATCTGATGTTAAGTTGTGCTGCGATGGTATCTTCCACTTGACCTGAACATTTAGATTCACCCCTGGAAACTTACCTCTCACCATCATGGTGTTGCGCTAATAGAAAGAAAGAAAGAGAGAGAAAGAGAGAAAGAGAGAGAGAAGAAAAAAGAAAGAAAGAAAGAAAGAAAGAAAGAAAAAATTGCAAATGCGTGTGGTCATGCACACAGCGGAGCTGCCCAAAAATTAAGGATGCCAACTGTAAAAGTCGGTAAGAAATGAGAAATCAGACACTATTTCTTGGACTTTTCCTGCCAGGGGTTTGTGGTTTGGAGGACAGCCCGTTTCACAGATCCAGGCTTCACCTTTTGGAAGACAAGCCCTCCTCTGTGAGCCAGCACCGAGCCCACCCGTCCTGCGACACTCAGCTTTCAAGTGGCACCCTGATTAGCCACGTCCAGGAATTCAGTGCTCCCGGGGCTACAAAGTTGGAAATTGAATGGGGGGGGGGGCGGTTTGATGGGGCTTGTGCCTTGGTTATGATGAGCTGATGAAGAAAAATTCTAAAACACACCTTGCTGCCACCCATAGCCTGGATGGCTCCTGGGGACTCCTTCCCTGGGGACAGCGGTTGGTTTCTGGAACAGCCGGTTGGCGTACCCAGCTTCCCCCCATCCCACCCCCCACACACCCCAATCACCACCACCACCACCTTGTTTCTTCTCTAATAGAAAATGTTTTGTGTGGCTAATCCAGTGAACTGGCTACGACAGGCTGGAGGCCTGTGCTCTCCGCTTCCTTGCTCACAGAGGCCAGAAAAAAGAGGAGGCCGCGAGAGAGACAGATCCCCTGAGCACTGCAAATTCCTCTTAGGCCACTGGCTTTAGGCACGACATGAAAGGGAGGGGACGAAGACGTTCTCATCACGCCTCCTGAAGCAGAGGCGCACGGGCCGGCCCCCCCCACCCCGTCAGGACCCAATCTTGGGAGAAGCCAGCTCCCCAAGTGCACAGCGCAGCCACTGCAGGAAATGGGGCCGCAGATCAGATCACACACTTTCTCTCAGTGGAAAATAAGGGGTTGAAATATGGGGGGTGGAGGGGGGTAGGACGTTCACCTGCTCTTTCGTCCTCTTTTTCACTCTGAGCTTAAAAAAACAAAAAGTGAGGCTTTTTTTTTAAGATTTTATTTATTTATTCATGAGACACACACACACACAGAGAGAGAGAGAGAGAGGCAGAGACACAGGCCGAGGGAGAAGCAGGCTCCACGTAGGGAGCCCAAGGTGGGACGCGATCCCAGGTCTCCAGGACTGCACCGTGGGCCGAAGGCAGGCACTCAACCGCTGAGCCACCCAGGGATCCCCAAAGTGAGGCTTTTTATTTGCTAATCAGATGCCACCTTTGTTGAAGTAAAATTTTAAAATGCCGAGTTTTCTAAATTTCCATGCGGGCACAGTGAGAACTCCGCCACCTAAGAACAGCTGTTTCTTTTTTCAAAGCCTTCACTTGAGGCTTTCCATACCCACCCAGAAATTAGTAAAAATTACTTGCTGCTTACATCGAAATCGGCACAGCCGGTCAGGTCGGCTTACCCTACCTCGGCTCTTTATGACAAGCCAAGTTAGCTCGGTCTGGTTGCTGAGATCCCGAGTTCCACTTAGACACGCTGCTACTGTAGAGCAGGGGGATGCTCCAGTTCCTTAACTCACGTTCTACTGAAAAGGAAAATCCACTTTTCCAGCCCCATTCAAAAGTAATTACTATGGGGACTATGGGGACTATGAGCGTCTGCCGTGGGCCTGGGCATGATCCCGGGGATGGTGGGATCGAGTCCCACATCGGGCTCCCTGCACGGAGCCTGCTTCTCCCTCTGCCTGTGTCTCTGCCTCTCTCTGTGTGTGTCTCTCATGAATAAATAAATAAAATCTTAATAAAAAAGTAATTACTGCAAATACAAACTTATCTGTAGATTTATGATGAGAGATCAGCACAGCAGAAAGGTGGAAAAGCGGACACTTCCAGAAATCTATGAGATGCTAGCTCTCCTAGACAAGCTCATCTCATGATCCACAACAGTACGGACTACAGACCAGTGAGCGCAGTGGCATATCTTACTGGTTTTTTTTCCTTTTAGACAAAAATCATAACCTGTAATTTTTCTGAAATCCAGAATTGATAAGGGTAGTAAGAATACTCCTAGAAGCCTAGCTTCCATTTGAAGAATCATGCATGGGGTGGAGGGCGGGGGGGATCAGCATCCAGAACAACATGAAAATTATGGAGGTGGGACCGGGCAGTCACCAATCCCAAAGACACAAGGGAGCCAGGAGCCAGGAGCCAGGAGAGGCTTCCCAGGATGTCTGACATCTGCACCTGCCCTCACCCACTTGATCCACTCCCATGAACGTAACTGTTACAGGAGCAGCCACGAGTGAGGAATCGACCTGGTCGCAGTGTCCCTGCAGGACACCAGGGCCCCACCCTCCCTTGACGCTCCTGTAAGGAGCCATAGCAAGGAAGAGGGCTGGTTCTTTGTGGAGGTGAAGTCCGACCTTCACCCACTATGGTGAAGGTCACATTCATGCACGCCCCTCCCAGGACATGATGCTGAGGGGACAGGGGGTTACCGATTTGCAAACGATGGGATAAGACATGCCTCCAGACAGGAATGGAAATAAGAAAGCTGTAAGCTGATTCCCCGAAAGTCACAAAGCATCTAGTACTCCAAGGCCAGCCGTCCCCAGGGGACAAATAGGAAAATGCTTAGTAAGGGTCACCCAGCGAGTGGGCCACCAGAAGTCCTGGGGACAAGGGAGTCCGACCCCCACAGCAGTGGTACCCCGGGAGGGTGGGGAGCTAGCTATGTGACCTCACATGCGAGGCCCAGCCTCTTTTACTCTTTATGGTACAATGGGGAGGATTCCGACCTCCTGGGAGGCCTGGCAAGTTCATCTAAGTAGAGCCTCGTGTACTGAGCCTGGCATCAAATAAAGGCTCAAGGCATGCACACATACAGATTATGCTCCACTCCTAATACAGACACACACATCCAGACGTGTGCACGTGTGTATGCACACACACATATAAATACACCCCAGACATACACGTACACACAAATAGACACGCGTGCACGTTAGGGATGGCAAACACAGCAGACTAGGAGGTTTTCCTACACTGAAATACTGGAACCCTCTTTTCAAAGCATACCGTGTGGCACAACCATTCCTGTCTGCTCTGTTCCCCGACCCCACTGTGCCTTGGAAACACCTCCTTGGATTTCCACGTAAAATCATAGAACCACACGAGGTGGTTAAAACACAAACTCAGCAATCAAGTGCAAGAGGTTTGAAAAACCTGGATGTGAATTTAGCTTGGCACTGACTGTCACTCCAGATAAGCTGCCTTATACACCCAATGGCAACAATAGCTCCCTCTCGGGGCTGCCACCACCGCGAGGTGCACTGGGCACTCAGTAAAAGGTGGTGCTAGTTGAGGGTCTTGGTGGCTGTCAGACCATCCACCAGGGGCTCCCGGGTGGCTCAATCAGGTGAGCGTCTGCCTTTGGCTCAGGTCATGATCCCAGGGTCCTGGGGTCGAGCCCCGCATCAGGTTCCCTGCTCAGCGAGGAGTCTGCTTCTCCGTCTCCCTCTGCCTCTCCCTCTGCTTGTGCGCTCTCTCTCTTAAAAAAAAAAAAAAAAATCCAAAAAAACTTCTTTGTGTGCATGACTCTAAACTCGGCAAAGAAAAGTCCACATGGCAAGACTTTTGGAGGCTCGTTTCTAATTTTCTTGCTGTTCCAAATTCTTGGCAGCTAGATCATCTATCAGTTAGTTAGTTTTAAGCAGTGAAGCATATCTGAGAGGGCAGGGCAGGTGCTAAACGAAACAGGTGGATGTGTTCACTGTCGTATGGAAGCGCCACGGAAGATTATGATCAGAGGGTCAGATTCTGTTGGAGGAGGAGGAGCTGAGAAGTGTGGAAAAGGCACCCACAAAATCTTCCACACAAATGACATATATTATTTCGCAAACGATCATAAACTTGACCTGGTCAAGATCTGCCAAGCTCGCTAAAGATCTTCACTGAGGAGTACAGTGAAGCACCACCAGGGAGAGAAATCCCAGGTGTCCCTTCCTTGGTTTGCAGATTTAGTAGATACACAGGGATGGAACTGAAGACTGCGGTTGGCTCCTGTGCCCTTCTCTGCTTGCTCCTGGCCTTGGAGCCATGCGTGGCTTAGTCACTGAAGGTGGCACAGACCATGGAGAGAAAAACCAAAACAGGAAACATTCTGGGAAGAACCCTGACCCCCAGAACCGCATGGAGAACAGAGATTCCGTGCTGGTTATGTTGTAGCCAAAGGGCATAGAGATATGCCTGTGACCCTCTAAACTAAATCATACAAACTACTGTCTGGGAATAAATAAATAAATAAATAAACAAATAAATAAATAAATAATAAATAAATAAATAACAAAACAAAAAAAAAAAAACCCTACTGTCTGGGAACCAGATGCCCCAACTTCAGAGGGCTGTCAGGACCCAACAGAGGGGAGCCCTGACGTCCCATGACCTCTGCAGGCTGGCTCGTGTGTGCAGGGCCCGGCGCACCCCCTCAGGGAGGACGTCCCCTGTGCCACTTGCCCCCATCTACTCTTCCGAGGCCACGAGGACCCAGGGAGCGGCTGTCAGCGTGGCTCCCTATCGCCCGG